GCGATATCCTGTTGTAGTCATGTATGTTTTAGTAACCTGCTTTATTCCTGACTTATTCCAACTCGGCTGTATAGTTTTACAGAGATCACCTTTATTTTGTGCATACTTCGCCCTTGATAGTGCCGGTTACTATGAGTGTTCTCATCCTGCCCCTGCATCTTTTCAAAATTTGAACGCCATAGGTCCAAGAGAAGAACTCCAGCGCACATCCTACCTCATGAAGGTGGACTTCATCAATACAACCAACCGTCACCATATTCCCAGTATACATCTCTTCCAACCTTGAACGCCCTAGGTCTAATGGAACAGGGGTTGTGAATTCGCGAGCAAACATACAGGATGTCCCAAAATTATGGGCGCCAAGATTCAAAAATTTCGAAGGTAGTAATAATCTATCAAACTCACATTACCTGCTATTAATTAGTTGCATAAGAAGGTTTCCTTGCAGTATGCATGGCTACTGATGTGGAACTCACAATGTCTTTTAGATGGAGGAGGCTCATTCAATGCCACTTGCAATAATTAACACGAGGTGGAAGGGCAGTATGAAATTCACTTGGATTTCATACTGTCCTTCCAGTATATATATATGTATATATATATATATCAGCATCAGTAGACGGACTGTGGCAAGAAGACTTAATGCTGCATGGTTGATTGGAAGGCGCCCAGCTAAGAAACCGTTGATCAGCCCGAAGAATCGAAAGGGAAGAGTAGAGCCTGCCCGTCGCCACCTGCACTGGAAGTCAAACGAGTAGAGCAAGATTCTATTTACCGATAAAAGCAAGTTCAACCTCTTCGGATCTGACGGTATCAAGTATGTGAGACGTCCTAGTGGTGAAAAATACAAGCCGTGATACACCAAACCCTCTGTCAAGCACGGTGGAGGATCGGTGATGGTGTATGGCGCATTCTCCTTTCACGGAATGGGTCCTCTTCGAAAAATTGAAGGCACGATGACTGGCCAAGGCTACGCGAACATGGTCATCGAAGAAATTTTTCCATGGGCGGAAGATAACATGCCAGCCGGATGGGTTTTGCAACAAGACAATGACCCGAAACACAGTTCACGTGCCGCGAAAGACGCCGTCCAGCAGAAAGATTTGAGACTTTTGGACTGGCCGAGCCAATCATCGAATCTCAATCCAATCGAACACATATGGGAAGAACTAGAGAGACATTGTGCCAAGCAGCGATGCAGCAACAAAGACCAGAAGTTTGCTTTACTTGCGAAGGTATGAATCGAATTGCCAACGGCCGTTTTCCAGAAGCTCATCGGATCAATGCCAGCTCGCTGCGCGGCAGTGATCAAGAGTCGTGGCTTTCCGACGAAGTATTAACTATTTACGTAGCTTTGGTTTTAATTTTTGCGAATTACTACAATTTTGTTAATGAAATAGCTCTTTAGTTAGACCTAGATTTTGCAGGCTGTTTTGAAAGATTGTGCATTTGACCTCCTTTACTTGCAATAATTCAATGGAACGAACTGCCGGTAATGTATTTTGTTTGTAACAATGCTACACATGACGTATAAAATTATCAAGCAAATCGGTCGAAAAAAAAGAAAGGAAAAAAATATTTACAAAAAACCGTTCCGGCGAATACTTTTGACCGCTACTGTATATATATAATAACCATATAGGATGATATGCAAAAGAAGACTGAATTAGAGACAAACCAGGAAAGGCAGAAAGGCCAATGTTTCTAAAGATAGGACCACGTATTAAAATGGTCCGTCTGCCAGTCGTTCGTGATCCTGGGTGACCCATCAGAAGGAAGTCAACGGGCGCGGCTTGTCGGAGTTATCGCGATGAAAGAATATCACGCAGAAGCTTCGTTATCATTCCTATCGTATGCAGAAATTTCGCTTCAGTTACAATCTCAACAGAGACTGCATGGTCAAAAATTCAGAAAATCGCGGACCCACTTGAGTGATGACACGCAACCCTTCATCGTTTTCTCTGACCAAAAATTTTTTACGATAAAACCGTCCCTCAACAAACAAAACGTTCGCGTTCCGGAAAGAAACATCTAACGTGCAATCTCTCACAGAGAGTTTGCTATAAGAACAGTAAAACCAGGTTTTCGAGGAAGTCACTGGCAACAGTGAGACGCTCGTGGTTTCTTTGATGCCGATGTGAAAATTACTGATACTGATGGACGTAATGAAACCCTGATTCGACTACGTTTTTGAAACATCTCGTAGTCCTTCCAGCGGAACGCTACTCCAGCCCTCAGAGCCAAGCTTGCCCGCGAGTGGTGCCGACGACAGCTGCCTGACTTTATCGGTAAAAAGTAATGGCCATCCTATTTTCCAGAACTTGACTCCCTTGACTTCCCCGTATGGTCACTGATTAGAAGAGGACCTGTCGAGTTTGCAGTCCCACTTTGGAGGCCTAGAAAGCAAGATTGAAGAAGAGCTGGGAGAAAATGAAGAAGGATACCTGCCACAAGCGATCAGGTCGAGAGTAAATTTTGGGCCTATCCGCACTAATGGGGGTACTTTGAAGTGTGACTGTAGCGTGTTGTAGCAAATGGTGTTAGCTAACGTGCATAGAGATTCCATGGTCTTCTTTCTCAGTTGAAAGGCCTAAAACATATTGCTATGAATTGGCGCCCATAATTTTGGGGCAACCTGTACATGCACCACACGCACACACACCGACACATACGCAAACACGCCACACCCACCACACGCATACACACATACACAAAGTACCGATTCACACACGCTCAGCGGGTTTCATATACTAGGATGAGGATTCTTCGTACGATTAAGTTGTGGAAACCGTAGCTTAACACGTTGGCGACCATGCGTCCCTGTGCCAGGACGCACGTTTTTGGCTCGCTGGGGTATTTATACTATTTATCAAGTGTTCCTATAATTTTTTCATGTTTTCATGTATCAGCTGAGCTCACCGCCTTCTAGAGGATCTTGAAGCATTGCGGTTCGGGAACCATTCATTTCTAACTACAGATATGAGAGAAAATAAAGTTCACGTAAGGACAATATAAAAGCGAGGTCGCCAATGGGTTAACTGCAAGGGAGGGGATTAAGGGAAGTCTATCGCGGGAGCGTGGCCGATCCCTCACACAAATTTCCAAAATCAAAAGGAGTCACGTGACATTTTTTTCTACTACCGTAATCACATGCGACTAAGAAAATCCTGCCGCCACACTCCACACGTGCGGCACAGTCTGAGAGTGCGGCCAGCGCGACACACCTACCAGGCACCAGATCCCGCACCCGTTCGGCTGGCGTGCGCTTCGATTCTATCGCCGTGCCGCGCCATCCTATGTGCTATGTGATGCAATGCTTCATTCCGAACTACTTTCCCGCGCGCGGGCATTTGAGTGCAACTTGGAACGTGCCATTGAAAAATGAATGAGATCGCTAGCAGAAGGTGGAAGTTGAATCAGGCGTGTCAAGTGTTTTCCATGTAGGAGATAGAGAAATAAGAAAACGAGACACTAAGACGATGACGTGAAGAAGATCCCTAATTAGAAACGCTGGAGCATTGTTACTGTATTCAAGCATCTGTGTACGAGAGAATGATTGAGAACGCTTTAAGAATGTATTTGGGGAGAGGCACACATGTTGGTATAACAAAGAACTAACACGATTTTGCGTGTTCTTCCGTGTTTTACTAGAACACTGTAGTTTTACAACTAAGCCAGAAGACTATAGGAGCACCGGGTTGCGCAAGTTGGTTAAGATTATAATCTCACCCACCTCGGTGCTCCTACCCTTCTAGGGTTTGTAAAAACCACATTCCCCGACTAAAAGTGCGCATGAGCGCACAGATGGCAGGTGCCGGTGGCGGAACTTCTTCCGACTTCCCACATTCGCTTTGCGGCGAGCGGCAAATCTTTCTCAGTTGTCTCGCGGCTTCGAAAGACAATTACCGCACTCAGCCCGCCTCCCCGCCCATCGATAGGACACCATATTTTTGTAGACTGCCTTTATTTTCAAGTTTTTTATTGTTTCTTTATGTTTCTTTTTTGTTTTACTTTCATTAGACATGATTGTTCGGAACTCCATCTCTATCATCGGCGACCAACGCTGCATCGGGATTGAAGGAAGTGGCCAACAAATGTGACCAATTGAAGGCTCCCTAACTCCCAAATTGCGCGCTCCGAAGTTCCATCGCATCTCTGCGATACGCAAGCAGGTGCGGCAAGCGCGACGCGGTGTTGGGGATCCCCGAACAAAACCGGTGTCAACCCCCCCCCCATTTCATCTCTGACAGTGTCAGTATAGCACGGAATAATACGCAACAGGAAGTCGAGTGCGGGGCGCACCCCTCAGACGGGATTGATTGGCGCCAAAAACTTTATCCTTTTTATCATTCATTGAAATAACCATGAAAACCATTAGGAGTAATCGGTACAACGAATAAACAAAAGTATTGATCAACAACGACCTAACTTCTTAAGACAGCCAACGGTACTGATCAATAACTCATAGCACTGATCAATAACGACCCGAAGTTACCTTGAAAGACACCTCCGACAAGGAAGGGAACAGCATGGACATCCTGACGAATAGTGGCTCGATTGATGAGTGTTGCTCTAACTTTCTAATTATGATCCAGCACTTTCTAATTATGACAGCAAACTTTCTATTAACATATTTTCGTGGCCGTGAGTCAGAATAGTGAGGTTCGAGCGTAAAATTGATGAGTATTTCGCATCATCAAGATAAATAAGAACCCTTAGCGATCAAGTGGCTTTACCTGTAGTCTCCCGATTTGCTGAGAGTTCAGAGAAGAACCTTTCCAATAGTAGTTTACAAGAGTGGCTTCCAGCAAACCTGCCCTAATGTAGAATGCCACATGTACTCTTCGTCTTTTAGTAGCTTCTTCGCATATTGTTTGCACTATATGTGGTATTACTACGAAACGATTTGGGGTGGAAAACTGTCAGCACTCAACCAAGGATTATCGCCATTTACCGTCACATCTCGATGGAAGCTCGAGCATCTTGGGTTATAATCGAAGTTACATACTCATACAACTAACCTCTTCAATCTTCCTTTTTCGAGGACAGGGGAAATCAGGGTCGATCACTTTACGGACGGAACGGAACGTCTGGCATCCCTTCCGAAGGCATCTACAAAAGTGACTAAAATCCAATGCTCATGTGCTCAACAACACAAAAAAAACGATTTTACCTGTATGCTGCATATTCCCGAATTTCACCTTTATATTTACTCTTTCGTATGCACAACTTCATCGGGTAGTCACAAAGGTGACAATGGATTTCCTCGGGCACTTCAGTAGTATGTCCATTAAACGATACAAGGTGACCGGAAGTAGAGGCATTAGCTGAAACAACCGTCGAGGAACTAGATAGCATATTTCGGAGACCCAAACCTACTCACCACATTGAGCAGAACTTGGATTTGTTGGATTCACTGCTTCGAGTTTTACAGGCCCTGACATCCTCGTCGGGAGCGATTCGCGACGATTAGAAAACCAGTCCGAGCTGTTTTGTGACGTTCCGGAAGACTTCGACTAAGCAAACATCATAAGCAAATCCTCTGATGGTGTTCATAGATCCTTGAGAATGGGGAAGGGGGTAGCAAATCATTCCTGGTCAAAAAAGTTCGTGGGAAATGTAGTTGGGGGGGGGGCATACATCAAAGCGTTAGTATATCAAGGAACTAACAAGGTGTCAAGTGTTACTCAATGTTACACCGGGGACGATAAGTTTTTTATCGAGCTTAAGAGGGAAGGAACAATAGAGCGGACAGGTTTTCAGCTTTTTACCCTCAGGCAATCATCTCACCCACCCCGGCGCTCCTACCATCCTAGATATTTAGTTCAAAGTACATCCCCTAATTAAAATCGCATAAGATAGCCTAGATGTCATGTGACATGTGCCTATTTTCCTTTTCGCCTCCGATACAGTGCTCTGTAAAACACGGACTAACGTCTAGCACCGTGTTATTTCGTGTTATCCTAACGCTGCTTGTATTGCCCCTCCCCCCTCCCACTCCCCAACTAGATTTCCACCAGAGTGCCTCCTCGCAACAGGGCCATGTTAATAACATCTTGCAACTCGAAAAGCATGATGGTGGAATGTTCATCTGAGCACAAAATGACTCCATACACGCTCTTGAGGTCCTGTTAACCCTTCGACGACCGTGGCACCCGCCGGCGGCTGCCACTGTGACTGGCGCATGGGACCATGGCACCCAATGTTGGGTGCCACCATGTTTTTTTCTTTATTTGCACATTTTAAACTTATTTAATATTTTCATATTTATTAAAAAACTTCATGGTACTTATATTCAGCATGGTCCACATTATTGTTTTATGAGAGCTTATTTATTACAAACATATATATACAATGGGGTATCACTAAAGAAAAAACCTAGGTACTTCCGCAAGATTTGTGTTCCTCCTGGAAACATTGCAGACAGTAAAAGCCGTAGCAATTGTTGCCCTGTGTTTTCACTTTTTTAGCATAGCATGCGCTCTGCCAAAACATAGTTTGATACTAAAGAGTCTTAATGTAATACGCATTTCTATTGCGAATATTATTTTCAGAATNTAGCAATTGTTGCCCTGTGTTTTCACTTTTTTAGCATAGCATGCGCTCTGCCAAAACATAGTTCGATACTAAAGAGTCTTAATGTAATACGCATTTCTATTGCGAATATTATTTTCAGAATTTGTCCCTTATTGCTTCCAAACTCCATTTTCAAGCCTCACTCAATTATAATGGATGAAATAATATCTTGATACTTCAATTTCAAGCGAAATATTGCTAAACTTATTGAGCCAGAGAAAGGAGTTCCTCCTGGGACCATGGCACCCACCGGTGGGTGCCAGTCGCGCACGAAAGGGAAGGGGCGTGGTCCCATGGGCGCGTCACGTCGAAATCGGCATTGTCGTCAAATGGTTAATTCGCCTCAGTTTGCCATTCTACATTAGCAGTTCCGTATAAGGGTAATTTGGATCTCAAATGGGTCAAACATTCACCTACAACAGGAAGTTAAAGAAACAAATGAGTCACCACTCCAATAATGATTGTTGTGTATGAAAATGCAAAAAAAAAGTGTGCAGTCGAGGTCTGGGCAGCCATCTGTACGGTGAAAAATTCGTTTAATTCGTTTGAAAGAAACCCACCGTTATATCGGACTTGCTTTTCATGGCTGCGAGGGCCTCCGCAAGGGATGGATTGAGCTGGTCAAGTGTGAGATTGTTATTATAACTTTGAGATGTCGAGCGCTGTCTGCGGATGCCAACTACACCGCCTAATGTCAAAGGAGGGTGTTTCGACTCACATTTCATGCTCAGATCGATGCCTGCAAAACCACATCGTACCATCTCTGGTTGAAAGCCTTCTCCGCACTAAATAACAGTGTTCGACTTACCTGCTGACGATTGATTTCCTGCCATACCAGATGCCTGACTGAGGTATGGCATTTGCGATCCATTAATATCGTCTACCTTGTGTATGAAAACAGCTTTTGTAGACGCTGTCACTGAAGGGTGTTGAACACAGGAGATAGAATTCATCTGCGAGTGTCGTAAATATTCCATCGAATCGTCCAGTGACTGTGAAGAAACTGGCTCATGTTATTCCATTCTCGTGAATCACCATCATAATTATTTTTCTTTCAGTGTTGTTGTGAACATTTGAACGTGTGCATATGCGAATTTTATATGTAGTTTTCTTCCAATTTACTGAAAGTACTTGTAGTAATTGTATGTGTACATAAGGGTACGTGTATGTGCATACATGTTTATGTGTGTGTGTTTGCCTGTAAGTACACGTGTATGTATACGAATGAATGAATATGTGCACTTGCGTGATATGCGTATAGGTATACACCAGTTGGGCTATGCACACTAACGCGTGCATGACATATATTAACGACAGCTTATCCACGATGGAGTGATTCAGTCATTGTTTGATTACCAAAATAAGATTGTTCTCTCTAGATTTGACTGCTGAGAGCATCACGCTCGATATATTTCTTTTGAGCAGAACTATTAGTGGTTGATCATAGATCCATATTCCTCAATGCATACCCTTCCCATCATAAAAACTTGACCTGAAAGTTTTTGAAGAGATGTATTTTTGTCCTGGCCCCGCTTTTCAGTGCTAGCTCCACTCACATCCAGGACTTAACCACATTTGTTCAAATACCTCTAGCCACGTTCTAGAACGTTTCAGAGTTATGAAACTTTGATCTAAGCCCTGCCCACTTTGATGCCAATCCTGCCTACTTTGTGGAATTGACCACATTTATTCCATTACCTCGAACCACCTTTTTCCGCATTCTAGAACGTTCCCGAACGAAGTTACATTCATTTTTGGGAAGTAGCTTTATCTCAACGCACACCCCGCTTATCGTGGGCGGGGCCTCGCTAAGCTTATGAGCGAGGCCTCATGCCCAGCACGCATGAGGCCTTGCTCACTCTTTCTATTTTTTCCTGTCGTCGACGTCTTCGTTGAATCGAGTTAGGAATTTCTGTGGAAAGCACCGCCCTTTGCGAGAACGCTCCGCCCACCGCCATTAACTTCTCTTTATTTTACCTGTTGACCCATTCCTCACCTTTGCACATTTTTTCCAGCGTCTGGGCGTCATGAAAGCTAGTTAATAATTTTTTGCCCACTCGTGTGCATGTCTCGCCCCTTTGGGCGGTGCTCCGCTAAGCTCACATGTGTTCTGTTGCTCTTGTCCTATGCCCAACCCGTCACGAATTTGACATGAATTTTCTGGTGCTTCTTCAGGTAATATCGAATTTCCGTACAAACAAACACAGACAGACAGAAAGGCAGACAGACAGACGAATATGGATGCATTCACCCAGGACTGGGTAGACGCGGCAAATCGCCACCGAATTCGTGGCGATTCAAATGACTTCGGCGCCTACCATTGGAGCCCAAATTTGAAATAGAGTCGATTAGTACGATCATGTGACATACTAATGTAGTCTACTTCAATTCTGCGTCCCAATGTCTCCTTAACGCCACGTCTCTCGCCGCGCCATTTGCCGCCTCCATCCAGTTCTGGGTGAATGTTCCGTCCCTCCAGACAGCAGACAGACGCGAGCGCTTTACATATAGTAAGGATGTGTATGTGTGTATATTTACATGTGCATATACGTACATATTCACATGTACTACGTGCAGACGTTAGCGTAAGTTATGTATCGAATAGGCCGGCTGACGCCCAACTCACCTCCTTTGGCCTAACGGCCTAACGAGTGCAACCCTTTCATGTTTACAAGGTTGGTGAAGAGAACGGCAGTTAGTGGCTGGTTTCCGAGTCCGCCGGCCGGCTCCGCGCGCGCCGGCCGAAGGCGGCGCTGTCCACTTGTTTAGAAACTGGACGTTCAACGATATCGCAGGCCGAATGACTAATTTCTCAGCTCTGGAACAGGCTGCTGAAAGGCTTTCAATGTCGAGAAATTAGTCGTTTGGCCTGCGGTATCGATCAACATTCAGGTTACAATATTCTTGTGCCGTGCGACGTTGTTAGGTGGAACATTTATTAATCACAGCGGCCTAAAGTTTCGACGTTCTCGTCTTCTTCAGAGGCCTAAAGCAACTCGAGACTATTTGCACAGTATCCAAAAAGCGCATGACCCCTGGCGAATGTTACGGCGAATTCAAAACCCATGATTTGAGAAATAACTCACCAAGGTTCCACTGCTCAATTGGATATAAAATCCGCTGTCGCCACAAGCGACTGTCAGTAGCGAATGAGACTTATTGGCTGTCTCCCTCATACTTGTGATACTTGTGATAAGGAAGATCACGCCATAATGCTACTGAGTCACAAGTCGCAGTGCAGTATATATGGCAAAAGATCATTGGTTATGGACGGGCACTCATCTATACCGTTCATTTTAGGACTTCTTTGGAAAATCCAGAACGCCTCTAATGCCTTTCTCGCTGAAATCTCCTCCTCCTGCGCTGATATCGTGCACTTGACTTCAAAGTTGTTGCCGTTATGCTCCTCAATTTTATGCCTACCAGGCGCCGTTATCAGGCTGCCACGCCTCATACTATTATAGCTAGGTGTTCTTTTATTCGTATAGCTAGTGATCTTCCCGTTTCTCCGATGTATGTTGACCCACATGTACGGCATTCTATCTGGTAGATCACGCCTATCAATGTGCAATCACCTCTTTTCCCGTACGGACATATGATGCAATCTTTCGTTATACACTGCTTGTCGTAGAGCCTATTCCGAACTAATAGCTGCTTGATATTGTTATTAGGAATACTCACTAATTGTACAACATTCTGCAGCCCAGCTTTGAAAATGCTCCGCTGTATAGCATTGCTAACTTTATCGGAGTTGAAGGGAAGACACAGTGGTAACTTATTTTGGGGCGTAGCACGCTGCGTATTAGTGCGGGAATTTCTATAACCCTATGACACCGTATAACCGTTCACAGCAGCTATCTCACAAGCTAAACGTCGGGATTCGAGTCGGTCGGCTTCAGCCGTGCAGACACTTGTTGCTGTTCTCAACAAGTTGCTGACGACTGCACGATTAACGGCTATGTAATATGTATTAATAGAATATATTAATATCTTACTTCACGCTACATCAGCTCATTCACAAGGACATGGATCCATCCACAACAAGGACATGGACGAAATGACGACGAAGTACAATAAATTCAACACTATAATACTAAACCCAGTAGTAGAAAAACAGGCTTTTTAAAATAACATCTTCGAGCCATCATAATTTTTCCTACTATATAGGAAGCAATGTGATAAAGTATACGGTAGCATATACAAGTATACCATTGCGTATACAATCTACAAGTATACGGTCGCGTGCACGATTGTTTAGGGCTTAAAATTCAGTGCTTACAACAAAAGCACTTCTTTACTAATTGTAAAAAGATTAGTAAATCCCGATCCTGGCGACGGGTCCTTTTTTATTCGGAATGGCCTATAACATGCATTTGACCTCACAATTAATATTGGAAAATTGTTTTTTCCCTAAATTGTGGTTAACGTATTACACTTAGGCACTTAGTGAACCTCGTGGATCCCAGACAATCGGGACTTTTTTTATTTCAGGACGGTTTCAAGCAGAGCGCTTTGATACCGAGCCTACGGATAACCCCACTCAGGACTTTAGGTTACTCTAATGATACTTCCCACCGTTACCTAAAGGACCCAGTAGAGACGTCTCCCTCGAGAGACATTTCCTACTGTTCATAAGATACAATAGATTAATCAGCTGACAATAACATCATAAGCGTTGGTTGCACTGTTCATATCATATTTCACATGGTGTACAATCTAATGACAGCCGATAGGCTGTTCACAGATCACACCAAACCGAGAATCCACAAATCACCGACTCTCAGAACAAAAAATATGAACACATAAATAATTAAACACAGGTAGAGCAGAGAAAGAAGAGCAAAGATAGCAGAAGAAATAAGGCTGCAGGTGCTTTTGTACCGCACATAACATTTTCACGCACTGCATTGTATTGCTTTTGCAGATAAAGATGATGTTTGAAAAGATATACCGGAATGGACCAAATGAGCAGGAAGTAGAGCAACACGAACAGAGCTCATGGCGTTGTCGGTTGTGAGGATAAATGGAAGGGTTTGGAGCTACAGTGCTCGAGGAAAAAGAAAGGGAATGTTCAAGTTGTGAAAGGGATGAAGGCGCACAAAATAATGGTGGTACGCACAGTGTTTTAGATGGGCTAGATAAGCAAAGGGATTCGTAGGAATAAGAAGGAACAAAAGGAGCAGCTAACCTTGGTTTGGAGCTAGAGAAAGCCGCATTCAGAGTAGTACAAATGAGACAATGTGCTCATCCGATGACAAGCAGCGTAAGTGCATAGTAGCAGCAATATGTGGTCGTATAAATTACGATGAATAAAAGTAACAGTTGTAGTAATACATTATGTATATTTTGATAATATATCCTCAGCTTACTGTTTATGTGATTAACTCTCTCTTCATCCCAACCCGATGGGCATACTCACTCTCCACAGCAAGTATTCCTACAACATCTATCACTTACATTCTCATTCATTTCTTATTCTATGAGTGATTTCGGACTCCGAATTACTCAATAACGCAGTCAGAACCCTCTTCACCAACGTGCGGATAATACGTACTCTATTAAGCGTAAAACCACACTCCGCATGCCCCGTAACCTCATAGAAAGACAACTAAAAGTCAACCAGAGGAGCAAGTTCACTCATCTATCCCTTTTCCGTCAGGTACCACCTCAATTACCACCGAACGTTTGCGTTCGTGGTCCAAACCACCAGACCCGAGTCTTCTCGTATCTTTTCAAGAATCTAGTTCTTTGGAAGAATCTCTACAACCAAGCAATCCTTCACGCTTCTTTTCCGTCAAGCCCGACGGTAAAGCACATACAACCAAAAAACCTTCCCAGGGTGTAGTTACTCTGCTGATTCACAACCATTCGTGACTACCCAAGATCCAGGAACCCGTCAAATCAACACACTAGTTGGCCTAACGTTTATCCGTCCTTCCGTTGTCCACATAAACTATAAACAAATAGTTTTAAGTGA